TTGCTTGGGGGGGAAAAAAAAAACCCCACCACAACAACCCCATAAAACCCACTACCAGGGGCTGAAAGGTGGAGGGGGGGGAAGGGAAAAAGCACCTCAACCCCCACAACAACAATAATCCCCTCCATGAAAATCAGTGGGTCCAAAGCTCAGCACCCCGGGGATCAAAAAGCCAACCCAGGGAACTGGGGAACCTGCCCATCCTGGGGGAGCTGCTTTTGTGTTCCCAGGGCTTTGCAAAGATGCAGCTTGGGAGCACCAACTCATCTCCCCACCCTCCCCCATCCTTTGCTTCTTAAGAGCTGGGAGAACCCCCAGCTGACCCAGCAGCTCCTCCTCACCCCCCACAAAAAAAGCTGGGAGATGGGGGGGGGATTTTGGCTGCTCCCCAGGGTGATGCTGCCTTCACACACCACAACAACCCCAAAAATCCACCCCCCCCCAAAAAACCTCAAGGGGTGGGGGATGGTGCAGCCAAGCCCAGAGCTGCACAGGGTGTTTTGGGTGCTGTGAAGGCTGGTTTGCCTTGGGGGGGTGTTGCTTTGGGAGCACCCCCAGGCTGCTGGTGTCTCCTCTCTCTCTCCCTCTGTGTAAACCTCCTTCCCAGCTCTGCTGGTTTCCATAGCGACCTCACAAGTGAAATTTTCCATCCCGGATGCCAAATGCCTGTGGATGAGGCACAGCCCTCCCAGGGTTACCAAATATAGACACAAAAAACACCCCCCAAATCCCTCCTCCCCCCCCAACACACACCCCCAAGCCAAAGCTCCGGGGCCCGTGGGGTGAGGAGAAGCCCCGGGGAAGCCAACGTGGGGTGGAAAAGGTGGGGGAGGTTTGATAGATCAGTGGGGCTGAGGATGGTGGAGATGGTGTTTGTGTGGGGAGTGTCCAAGCCTGATTACAAGGGTCCTGCAAAACTCCATCCTGGTAGGACATCCCCTGCAGGGGATCAGGGTTGGGGATGGAGAAGCTGGTGTGGGGTGGAAAAGGTGGGGAAGGTTTGATAGAAGATCAGTGGGGCTGAGGATGGTGGAGATGGTGGGTGTGTTGGGGAGTGTCCAAGCCTGCTGGCAAAGGTCCTGCAGAGCTTCATCCTGGTGGGACACCTCCTGCAGGGGATCAGGGTTGGGGATGGAGAAGCCAACGTGGGGTGGAAAAGGTGGGGGAGGTTTGATAGATCAGTGGGGCTGAGGATGGTGGAGATGGTGGGTGTGTGGGGGAGTGTCCAAGCCTGCTGGCAAAGGTCCCTCCTGGTGGGACTCACCCAGCCTGCAGCAGCTCGGGGTTGGGGACGCACTGGAGGCGGTGGGAGAGGAGCTGGAAGGCGCTGCTCTGGGGCAGCAGCATCAGGAGCCCGTAGAGAGCCTTGATCAGGTAGGGGTTGTTCTTCACATCCAGCAGCTGCAGGCGGAGGTCTGGGAGAGGAGGAGAAGAGGGGCAAATGTATTTGGTCACCAGGTCCCACCCCCACAACAGCAGGTTCCTCCCAACCCTTCTGGATGGTGGTGAAGACTCTGCCAAACGCCCCCAGGGGCACCCACAGCTTCTCCCTTGCCATGGAATCATCCACTTCTTGTCCTCCACACAGGCCAGAAGCCCCTCTCCTCACATCAGCTGGGGAGGGGGACAGCAGCTCCCCAGCCTCCCATCCCTGCTGCTGCTCATCTCCCTGCCTGAGGGAACCCAAGTGCAACACGAGGTCGCTCCTCAGCTTCTCTGGAATGAGCAGAAATACCTTCCAGGAGGGTGAGGGGGGCTGGGTGACACCTTCCTGGGAGCTCTGTGGAGTGGTGGGATCCTCTCTGCCATGGTGGAACCCACCCTCCATCCCACATGGTGCTCAGGGGTGGCAGGGCCTTCTGGTGCTCTGCCAACAGCCAAGGTCCCACCAGGGGCACCCCAAGGGATGGGGTAAGAGGTCCCCAGCCCAGCATCTCACCTCCTGGTTGTCACTAGCACCTCTGATGTCTCCCTGCAAAGGGACCCAAGCCCTGGGGTGATGTTCAGTGGGGGACATGTCTGTCCCCCCACCCTGAGACTTGGAGATGAAGGTGATGGGGAATGCTCCAGGAACTGTTTGAAGCCACCACATGGTGGGCAAGTCACCCCTGGGATGAGGCACAGGGCAGAGTGTGACCAAAGGCCACCCCCCAACTCCACTGCCCAGCTGCTCTAACCAGCTTCATTCAAAAATCCTCCAGCCCTGGACATGTCCCCCCCTGCAAGTCCTTTCCAGAACATCTCCCAACACCCTCACAGCCCAGCTCCACCTCCAGGGAGAAGGAGCCCAAGGGCACCCAAATGCCACCAACCCCACCAGGTTCCCCCTGTCTCCATCCCAGCTCCCACCACCACATCCCCAGGCCCCTGGGACAGTGACCCACTGCTGGGAGCAGCTCTGGCTTTTTTGATGTCTTTTCTTCTCCACTTCCAGAACAAAACCAAACCCAAACCACCCTTCTTTTCTCCCTGAGGGCCCCAGCAGCACCCATGATGCCACCCCGTGTCCCCAAGGGGCTGGATCCAGCTCCCCCTCCTCTGACACCCCACTGGAGCTGCTTGGTGTGGTCCAAGCTCATCCCCATCCCTCTGTTTGGGGATCTAGGGGGGGGTTTTGAGCTTCCCCCCCCAGCCTTCTGCCAGCCCCTGTGGGCATCTCCAGCCCTGGGCAAGAAGTCTCCTAACTTCTTCGTGTGGAGGAGCAGGGAGGGAGACACAGCAGGGTGGGAGATCACCAAGGGCCACCCCATCATCCCCCCATGCTGGGGCTCCCCCTTCCTCCTTACAGGTGAAGATGGGGCACTCGATGAGCTGCACTAGCTTGTCCACCTCGGTGAGGAAATCCACGGTGACCTCCAGGTCCCCACTGGAGGTGGCAGTGAAGGATGTCACCTTGGGAAAGAGGGTGGCCCTGGCAGCAGCAGATGGCTGACCCGGGTGAGGCTGGGATGGTTGGGAGGAACAGCTCTGCCAACTGCTCCTCTGGGAAGCCAGCCCAGCCCAAAGGGCTGCGGGGAGGCCAAGGGATGATGGAAGAGGATGAGCTGGCAGGGGTGGGGAGCCAAGGGCAGGCTGCCCAAAGAGCCAGCAGCTCGCCAAGGCCTGGGCAGGCAGGGGGATGGTGGGAGGGAGGACTTCACAGAGGGAGGGGGGGGGTTGGAAGGCACCTCTGGAGATCATCTGGTCCAACCTCCCTGCTAGAGCAGGGTCCCCGAGAGCAGATCCCACAGGAACACCTCCAGGTGGGGTTGGGATGTCTCCAAGGATGGAGACTCCACAACCACCCTGGTCAGCCTGTCCCAGGGCTCTGCCATCCTCAGAGTCAAGAAGTATTTTCTTAGGTTGAATTAGACACTGCTGAGGGGATGGAGCTGCTTTGGGGGGCTCTCACTGACCAAAGCCACCCATATGCAGCAGCTCAGATTCCGTCCTTACTGTTTGTGAGGATACATGAGTCTTCTGGTGGGAAGAAACTGGAGGAGAGAGACTTCAGGTTACCTTAGTTCTCTGCCTGTTCATAGAGGTGCTCACCCACCGGGCAGCAGCAGATGGCTGACCCGGGTGAGGCTGGGATGGTTGGGAGGAACAGCTCTGCCAACTGCTCCTCTGGGAAGCCAGCCCAGCCCAAAGGGCTGCGGGGAGGCCAAGGGATGATGGAAGAGGATGAGCTGGCAGGGGTGGGGAGCCAAGGGCAGGCTGCCCAAAGAGCCAGCAGCTCGCCAAGGCCTGGGCAGGCAGGGGGATGGTGGGAGGGAGGACTTCACAGAGGGAGGGGGGCGGTTGGAAGCCACCTCTGGAGATCATCTGGTCCAACCTCCCTGCTAGAGCAGGGTCCCCGAGAGCAGATCCCACAGGAACACCCTCAGGTGGGGTTGGGATGTCTCCAAGGATGGAGAATCCACCACCTCCCTGGGCAGCCTGTCCCAGGGCTCTGCCACCCTCACAGGAAAGAGGTTTTTCCTGATGTTTAACTTGTCCCTCCTGTGCTCCAGTTGGTGGCCATTGCCCCTTGTCCTGTCACTGGACACCCCTCAGTCTGGCCCATCCTCCTGACACCCCCTGGAGAGGCTGATCAGCACTGATGAGATCCCCCCTCAGTCTCCTCTTCTACTCCCCCTTGCCCACAGGCCCAGCCTGGAGGAAAAAGGGGCAGGAAAGGAGCCTGAGGGAATTCCTGAGGGGGATCCCAGAGGCCTGAAGACCCTGGCAGACCAGGAGGCCAAAGCCCTGGTCTTCCTGGGAGGAAGAGGATGCTGAGAAGCCTCCCAGCCCGGGCAGGGGAAGGTCAGGCCTCAATCTGTCAGTGCTTCCCACTTTTCCCACCACCAAACCAAGTGGGATGAGCCAAGGGGAAGGGAACAGCTCTGGGGTGGGGACACTGCCCTGGCAATGACTGTGGGCAAGGAGGTGACCTGCAGGGTGACCTCGGTGGCCACAGAAGGAGCAGCCCAACCCCTCCTCCTGGCCTTGAATCCCCCCCTCCACCCCCTCTCCCAAAGGATACAATTTCTGGATGAGGTCATAGGCGTGTTTGTAGTTCTGGGTGAGGAAGCAGAGGGACACGGTTGTCACCGGGTTGTGACACCAGGAGCGGTACAGGCAGCAGAAGAGGTTCCGGCTTTCCTGGGGAACAGGCAGGTAGGTCACCATCCCGAGGGGCACCCAGAGCCCCGGGACCCCAGCACCCACCCACCAGGCACAAAGGGGCATCTCTGGAGCCACCCAGTCAACCTGTGAGGCCACCAGCCTTGGGAGATGGAGCCCAAGCTGCACAGGGTGGGGTCGGGGTGGCCTTTGGGGTGTTGTGTCCACTGCAGGACATGGGGCTGGAGGAGAGGGGCTGGCCCAGCCCAGGGGACACCAAGGCATGAGGAGGAGCAGGAAAAGCCTTCCTCCCTCTCCTTGTCTTGTTTGGATGGTGGCAGCTGCTCTGCAAAGCCTGCAGGCACGTTCCTGGCAGGGACAGCTGAGGGAACCAGGGCTCTCTGCTCCTGCTGTCACCTGTCCCTTGGCTGGGGTGGAGGGAGGGAGGTGGCAGCTGCTCATTTCCACCTCAGGGTAGAAAACCAAAAGTTGGGTATGTCTTCCAGGTCCCCACAGCTTCTGTAGGGAGGAGGAAGGAAGGAGCCACCCCAGGCACCTGAGATCCATCCCTGGGATGTCCATCTAGGCAGGGACTGAGCAGCAAGATGTGCCTCCCAGGTCCCTGCCATCCCCAGGATGTGCAACCCCCCCCAAAGCAGCTGAACCTGCTCCCACTGCTCGTACCGGGGTCTTCAGGTCCTTCAGTTGGTTCCTCAGCTGGAAGAGCTCCGAGGAGGTGAGCAGGATGGTGTTCAGGGTGTGAACCATGGTAGAGGCAAACTTGAGGTCCTCCTCCCGCAGCAGGATGTCTGCCATGGAGTGGAAGATGTTCTCGGCGTTCAGGAGCAGGCAAAGCTGCCTGCACATCACAGAGGAGAGAAAATCAAGGGTGGGAAGGTGGGTAAAGCAGCCTGAGATCCTGACCTGAGCCTGCACATCACCCCCCCCCCTTCCTCCAGAGACACCAAAAGCTGGGGGAGCACAAGAAGGGAGGTGTGGTGGGGCAACACCAGGCTCTGCACGTGGAAGGTGCAGCTCCTCACACCAGGGCAAGGCCCAGGAGGACAACTGGGCTCCTTGCCTGCTGCTTGGGGACCTTGCTGCCACCTCCAGCCTCCTGGTGACCTCCCTTGAGAGGTTTCACCCTCACTTCCCACCCTTTCCATCTGCCTGGCCAGGCCCAGCTGGGTCATGGCTTAACAAACTTTGAGGCATTCCCAGCATTTTAGACCAGATACCAAAAAAACAACAGTGTTTTGCATTTTTCCCCCCTCTGTGTTTGTTTGGATTTGGGGATTTCCTGTTTTTCTCCAGGCTCCTGCTTTCTTGGGCCTTGGTCTGAGGACACCTGAAATGCTGCCCAGTGCTGGCTCAGCTCTCCAGTGCCCACATCAGGGAGACCTGGAGGAGCCCACCCAGCTCCCCCAGCTTCTCCTGCAACTGGGATGCTCCCTGAGTTGAGGGGACATCCCATGGGAGACAGGGAACCTCAGCACTGGAGGAGATGCTGGTGTCCCCCAGAGCTCTTCTGCTTTCCCCCAGCTGCTACCAAGCACTGTTCCCAACCAGCAAACCTCAGCTGGCAACCAAATGCCCCCTTGGAGGCATCTCAGGGGGGTTTAGGAGGCAAAACTGGTTGAGTGGGAGGCATTGCTTCTGGAGTTTGGTCTGTCCAGGAGGTGGGAGGCCCACCTGAACCCCACCTGGGGTCATGTTTTCACCATCTCGGGTGAGGAAGAGGAAGGAGGCAAATTTCCAGGCCCCATCACCATCAAGAATCCCAGAATCCCAGACTGCTTTGGGTTGGAAGGGACCTTCAAGATCATCCAGATCCACCCCCCTGCATGGGCAGGGACACCTCCCACCAGCCCAGGTTGCTCCAAGCCCCATCCAACCTGCCCTTCAACACTGCCAGGGATGGGGCAGCCACAGCTTCCCTGGGCAACCTGGGCCAGGCTCTCACCACCCTCACACCAAACAATTTCCTCCTCATGTCTCACCTCAATCTCCCTCTTCCAGTTTTAATCCCTTCCCCCTTGTCCTCTCCCTCCCTGCCCTTGTCCCAAGTCCCTCCCCAGCTTTCCTGGAGCCCCTTCAGGCCCTGGAAGGTGCTCTGAGGTCTCCCTGGAGCCTTCTCTTCTCCAGAAGAAGCCCATAGGTAGCAAGACACCAAAGACCACCCCCTAAAGCCTGGAGTTTCAGGGAGGCAGGAGGACTGGGAATGAATTTCTCCCTCCAAACCCTTCATCTTCCTCCCAACTCTGCCGAACAACCCGTCCCCTCCTGGCCCAGCCCCGAGCCCTCTCCATCCTGGCTGGACAATGAGATGCTCTGTGAGGGCTTTTTACATAACCCAACCCAGCACTTGCCCTGGACCCCCTTCCAATGGAACGGGCTGGGATAAATAAGCTCATTTATCCCAATTATTCTTACGTAAGCGGCCGCATTCATGGGGATGAAAACGCTTCCCCGGCTTCTCGCCGCTCGGACGCGGGGTTGGCTTGGAGGAGGGAAGAGTGGTGGGAAAGGGAAGGCAGGGAGGGAGGGAGGGAGGGAGGGAGGGAAAGCAGAGGTTTTTAGTCCAGGCTGATGGAGCCAAAAAAGCAAATCAATAGCTCAGTGCTGGGGACAGGATCCGGTCCCCGCCAGCTGCGGCCAAGCAAGGTCCAAGCCCAGCCTGGGAGAGTTGGCTCCATCCTATCCTACTCCCAGGAAAAGGGGATAATTGGATGCCCCATCCTGGCTGAGATGGCTCCAGCAGCTGGGGTGGGCACTCGGGTTGGGAAGCAGGATGATTTGTTGTGCCCAAAGAGGGGATGGGTTCTCCAGGGATAAACGTCGGGAGGGTTTTACCCCCCATGGGCTGGCACGGCCAGGGCTGGGGCTTGGCTCCTGCCAGGCAGAAAGGGCAGGGAAATCATGGAATGCCAGACTGGTTTGGGTTGGAAGGACCTTAAAGATCATCTAGATCCAGCCCCCTGCATGGGCAGGGACACCTCCCACCAGCCCAGGCTGCTCCAAGCCCCATCCAACCTGCCCTCCAACACGGCCGGGGAGGGGGCAGCCACAGCTTCCCTGGGCAACCTGGGCCAGGCTCTCCCCACCCTCACACCAAACAATTTCCTCCTCATGTCCCACCTAAATCTCCCTCTTCCAGTTTTAATCCCTTCCCCCTTGTCCTCTCCCTCCCTGCCCTTGCCCAAAGTCCCTCCCCAGCTTTCCTGGAACCCCCTCAGGTGCTCAAACAAGCTCCATCAAACAAGACCAGGGCTTGTTCCCCTTCCTTCTGGTGGCACTGGGGAAACTGGAACCCATCGGGGTGTTCCAGGAGCTGCCTCCACGTAGGGGCTCTCTAGGAACCACCAGCAGAACGAGCTTGCCAGTGCTCAGCAGCTTGTCCCAACACCCCTGCAGACTCGAAACTCCCCTTCCAAAGCCCAAAAGAGGTCCCCAAAGGAGGTGACAACTGGCTGGCCACGCAGCTGCTGGTGACTGTGACAGCAGCCAGCAGCTGAGCCCAACTGCCAGAGCTGGTGGGACAGGAGGGTCCACCATGAGCCCATCCCCTGGGATGCTTGGATGGCACGAGGGGAACGTGAGGCTGGGGATGGACAGGTGGCTTCAAACAGGGCCGGCAAGATGCCAGAGGGGGGGCAGCAGGAGGGGACAGGGCAGGGGGGACAGCAGAAGGGGACAGGGCAGGGGTGGTTGCAAGAGGGGAGAGGACAGGGGGGACAGCAGAAGGGGACAGGGCAGGGGGGACAGCAGGAGAGTAGAGGACAGGGCAGGGGTGGCTGCAGGAG